AAATTTGACATCAAGAAGAACATCTGAGTTCGGTTTCAGAAAGCTGTTTTGGTTTCACTCCTTTCCACTAACACTTTATTGTTTTCATTTCGCATTTCCGTCAAAACATGTTTAAAACTGTTAATGAAAATTTTTCAGGAACGAGAAGTTGTGAAGATATGCTTCTATCGACATCAAGTTAAAATAGAGGCTATTCTTTTGATAGTTAACCTATCCATGTTCTCATTTGAAATGAAGCACTGAAACACCAATAAGATTTGCCCAATTTTAAATCATTTTTGGAGACACTTTCCCTTGATTTCACTTGAAAACTATTTGTTGTTGTTGGGTTTATTACTTTAGAGTATTAGCAAGTTGGGGATATTTGTGTAAATGTATTAGGCTTAATCCTAAGCCTATAAATACTCTTTGTTATCTTTGAAATAAACAAGTTACTCTTTTATCATTAACATGGTATCAAAGCCTAAATTAAAAACCTAAACCTAACCTTCTCACAGTAAACCCTAGCCACCACCACTGTAGATCTCGCCGGCGAACTACTGTAGCTCCCTCCGGTGACCTCCGACCGGCGTCGCCCAAGGCCGGCGACGCTCCGTCCAGCGTCGCCCAGGGCCGGCGACCCTCCGTCCGGCGTCGCCCAGGGCCGGCGACCTCAGATCCGGCGAGATCTAGGTCCGGCGACCTCAGATCCGCCGAGATCTAGGTCCGGCGACCTTAGTCCGGCGTCGCCCAGGGCCGGCGACCCTCCGTCCGGCGTCGCCAGACCCCGGCGTCCTCCATCCAAGGTCGCCCAGCTCCGGCACACCTCCGGCGACCCCCATCCGTGGTCGCCGACCTCTGACGACTTCAATCCAGGGTCGCCCAGCTCCGGCGAATCCAAGAATAAGGCTGCTGGAACTCATCTAGGTCAGAAATCAGTGTTGTCTGACCATGGTATCACTCGCCTCAGATCTCTCATGTGTTTTGATGTATTGAAACCCAGAAATCGATGTTATCAGGGGAGTTTCTGAGGCCGAGGATTGTGTGGAAGTGATTTGTGGAGTTGAATTTGCTGTTTTTCATTGTGGTTTGTGAAGATGGAGCATTGAATTTGGTGGTACTGGTTCTTTTGGCTGAATGTGATGTTTTGAAGCGTTAGTTCTCTGAATTTTTTGTGTTCTGTAGTTGGAGTGACATGTGGGGTTACTGAGATTTGCGGATACTTGCAGAAGTTATATAATAAGTGGGGTGTGTTATTTATTACATACGCGGGTCAAGTTTCCAGTGATTAGTGGTTTGTGAGGATGTCTACTGGTTCATCTAATTCACCGTCTATTACTTCGGGATTGGGCTCCTCTAGTGCTTCTTTGAGTTCAGTATCTTTTGGTTCATATTATAGTATGACTAATCTGCACAATACCTTGGTCAAGTTGGACGGTACCAATTACCCTTCTTGGTCGATGGCTCTTTCGACTTTTATTTATTCTAATCGCCAGTCTAGATGGCTTGAAGAAGAACCACCTGCAGATTCAACTAGTCTAGATGAATGGAAGTACGTAGATGCTACTTTGCGTACACTTTTATGGGGAAGTATGGCTGAATCTATTCGTCATCTTTTCATGGATTGCACTACAGCTCGTGAGGTATGGACAAAGTGTGCTTTACTGTATTCTGGACAGAATAACATGAGTCGAGTTTGTGACATGTGGGAGGCTTTATTTGAAGCCAAAATTGGTGATGCTAGTTTGGCAGAACATTATGCTCGTTTTGCATCTTTGTATCAGCGCCTCAAGTCTTATTTTCCACCTGCTACCACAGTTACTCAGATGCAGCAACGAGAAGCGGACATGATAACCGTGCTCTTTCTTCGTAGCCTTGGTCCAGATCATAGTGCTCTTCGTCAACAGATTACCTCTCAGAGCACTCTTCCTTCCATTGAAGAAGTGTATTCTCGAGCTGCTCGTTACACTTCCAGTCCCAAGACTTCAGTAATTTCAGATAGTAGTGCAATGGTGGCTCGTGGAGGTCAAGGGACTCGTGGTCGTATTAACGGCCGTGGACAATGGAATTCTGATAGTTCTTACCGTGGTCGTGGTCGTGGTCGTGGTTTTCAAGGCCGAGGTGCCGTTCGTGGTGGTGGTAGTAATACTTCTATAGGAGCACGTGGTGGTGGTCGAGCGAATCGCTTTTGTACTCATTGCCAGCTTTCTGGGCATACTGTTGATTATTGTTATGACCTCCATCCCGAACTACGAGGTCTATATGCTTCTATTGATACTGAACCTTGGGCTCCTTCCCTTGGATCTTCTTCTGGACAGGGTACAGTACAGTTGACTCGTGCAGAATATGATGAGTTGGTCAGAGCACGACAGAGTGAGAGTGGTACTGTCTCTGGTCCTACTGCTACTTTAGCACAGCGTAATGATCCTACATGTCTATTGTCCAGTACAACTCCTCCTCGTTCTTGGGTTATTGATTCGGGTGCCACTCATCATATGACTGGTGATCCTCGTCTTCTCACATCCACCTCATCTGTTCCTTCTATGTCAGTCACCTTAGCAGATGGTTCTCAATCCAAAGTTACTGGTACAGGTTGTGTATCATTGAGTTCCTCGGTCTCCTTGCCTTTTGTTTACCATATTCCACACTTTCCTTACAATCTATTATCAGTCAGTTCTATTACTCGTGATCTTGATTGCGATATTATCTTTTCTTCGTCTTCGTGTGTTCTTCAGGATCGGAAGACTGGATGCCGAATAGGTGGTGGGAGTGAAGCTGGTGGGTTGTACATCCTGGAACCTGAGATTATAGCTGCTGCTACAACAGTTCAGAATAAAGCCGTGGATGATCCTTATCGATTACATTGTCGTCTTGGTCATCCATCAGCAGACGTACTCCGACGGTTTCCTTTCGTGTCTAGTTCAGGTTTTCAGTTTAATTGTGAAACGTGTCAGTTAGGTAAACACCATCGTGAGTCTTTCTCTCCTCGTATTTTGAGTCGTGCGTCTCATCCATTCGAGTTAATTCACTCCGATGTGTGGGGTCCTAGTCGAGAGTCTTCATTTGGTTTTCGGTATTTTGTCACTTTCATTGATGATTATACTCGTACAACTTGGTTATATTTAATAAAAGATCGTACTGAAGTTTTTCATTCTTTCTGCCAGTTTTATAATGAAGTACGTACGCAGTATGATTGTTCTATTAAGTGTTTGCGTACTGACAATGCTCGTGAGTACTTTTCTTCATCTACCTTTATTCCGTTTCTCAAATCTCATGGTATTTTACATCAGAGTTCTTGCGCTCACACTCCGCAACAAAATGGAGTTGCTGAACGTAAGAACCGTCATTTGTTAGACGTTGCTCGTTGTCTTCTTCTTCACACTCATATACCTAAATCATTCTGGAGCTATGCTCTACTTACAGCGTGTCATCTTATTAATCGTCTTCCGTCCTCCGTGCTGAAAGGAGTTATTCCTTATGCTCTTCTTCATCCTGATCGTCCTTTATGGTCTGTTCGCCCCCGTATCTTTGGATGTGTCTGTTTTGTTCATTCTTTGTCTCCTGGATTAGACAAATTATCACCTCGTGCTGAAAAATGTATATTCGTTGGTTACTCCCGTACTCAAAAGGGATATGTTTGTTATAATCCTACTCGTCGTCGGGAGTATGTTTCTGCTGATGTGACTTTCTTTGAGGATAAAGCATTCTTTGGCGATGATCGTCCTCAAGCACCATTAACCCTGGACCTTCTGCCACCCTCTGCACCTACATCTCAGCCGGAGCCACCGTTTGTTACTTCTGGTGCTGCTCCACCGGATCCAGGCTCACCAGCACCGAACCCTCTTCAGGTCTATACACGTGGTCCTCGTTCTGTTTGGGGTAATACATCTTCACCAGCAAGTATTCCACCACCACCACCAACTTCGGTCCAGGCTTCCGATCCTCTTCCACCGTCTCCTGATAGTTCTCCTATTGCTCACCGTACTCGATCTCGGTATCCTCTTTCTAATTTTGTGTCTTATCATAACTTAAGCCCTCAGATGTCTGCCTTTGTGTCATCTCTTGCTTCTGTGTCTGTGCCTAGTAGTGTCCAGGAGGCTTTGGCCCATCCAGGGTGGGCTCGCGCTATGGAGGAGGAGATGGCTGCTTTACATCATAATAAGACTTGGGAGCTCGTTCCCTTGCCGGCTCATAAACAATTGGTAGGTTGTCGCTGGGTCTTTGTTGTCAAACACCATCCAGATGGTACAGTTGATCGTTTAAAGGCGCGTCTTGTGGCCAAGGGCTATACTCAAACTTATGGTATTGACTATGATGAAATTTTCTCTCCGGTAGCCAAAATTCCTTCTGTTCGTATCATTATTTCCTTGGCTGCTCGGTCTCAGTGGACTCTTCATCAGCTTGATGTAAAAAATGCCTTCCTTCATGGTGATCTTCACGAGGAAGTATATATGGAGCAACCACCTGGGTTTGTTGCTCAGGGGGAGAAGGTGTGCCGATTGCGAAAAGCTCTTTATGGGCTTAAGCAATCTCCTCGTGCTTGGTTTGGCCGGTTCAGTGATGCGGTTATTACTTTTGGCATGCATCGGTGTAGTGTGGATCACTCAGTATTTAGTATGTCATCTTCAAAAGGATGTGTTATTCTTGTTGTTTATGTTGATGATATCATTGTCACAGGCAGCGATGTTGAAGGCATACGACGACTTAAGCAGTTTCTTCAAAAGGAGTTTAACACTAAAGACCTAGGTCGTCTGCGATATTTTCTTGGCATTGAAGTTGCCTATGCCAATGGTAGCATTGCTCTCTCCCAGCGAAAGTATGCTCTTGACATTCTTAAGGAGGTTGGCTTACATGATTCTAAACCTGGTGACACACCTATGGATCCTGGAGTGAGGCTTGACAATGAACAGTGAGAACTTCTTCATGATCCAGAGAAGTATCGTCGGTTAGTAGGCAAGTTAAATTATCTTACCATTACCCGTCCGGATATTTCATTTGCTGTTAGTGTGGTGAGTCAGTTTATGAGCTCTCCTCGTACTAATCATTGGCAAGCTGCTCTACAAATTGTTCGATATTTGAAGAGAGCACCAGGTCAAGGACTTGTGTTCCATAATCAAGGTCATCTTCGTATAGCTGGTTATTCCAACCCTGAATCTTTGGAGGTAACAGGATATTCTGATGCAGATTGGGCTGGTTGCCCTATGGATCGCCGGTCTACTTCAGGATACTGTGTATTTCTTGGTGGTAATCTTGTGTTGTGGAAAAGTAAGAAACAGTCTGTTATTTCCCAATCTAGTGCAGAGGCCGAGTATCGTGCTATGGCTAATGTTACCAGTGAACTTCAATGGGTTGTTAGTTGAGATTGGACTACCTATGACCGGATCATCTATTTTGTGTTGTGATAATCAATCTGCTATTCATATTGCTAGCAATCCAGTGTTTCATGAGCGAACGAAGCATATAGAGGTGGATTGTCATTTTGTTCGAGAAAAGGTGAACTGCGAAGACATACGGTTGGTACACACACGTTCTGAAGAGCAACTAGCAGACATTTTCACAAAGCCTCTTCGACGTGGACGAGTTTCGTATATTTGTCATAAGTTAGGACTTTTTGATATGTACGCTCCAACTTGAGGGGGAGTGTTGGGTTTATTACTTTAGAGTATTAGCAAGTTGGGGATATTTGTGTAAATGTATTAGGCTTAATCCTAAGCCTATAAATACTCTTTGTTATCTCTGAAATAAACAAGTTACTCTTTTATCATTAACAGTTGTCAAACATATTTTCAAAGCCGTTTTCATTCTTGATGTAAATTAAATATAACATTTATGAGAATACGCAGGAACCAAACGGGTTTAAGACATTGGTTGGTGAATTCTCACACGTCATTGACAAAGATTTTAATCTTCAAGTACCTTAAATCCCCTATGAATGACGTCGGGTACGACAGGCAAGACAATAATTTGATTGAAATCAAGCTCAAGAATTTAGTAAAAAAACTAATGAGCTAGAGAGTTGGGGGTCAAGGTGCTCAACTTCAAACATAGGAGACTGACTATCCTATGTTCCATTCAATCTAGTTTGATGGTTAAATAAAAGGAGATTTGACGGAGTTTTACTATACATACTCAGCCATTAAAGACATTAGCATTTTAAATTTGATTTTAGCTTTGAAATTTGAATTGTGCTTTTACAGTTTTCTCAATGTAAACAAAAGGAAGAGCTACTAATATGTTGTCCGTCTATAAAAGGTGATAAACGGACAAAGTAAAGGGCACCCCAACACAAGTTAAGGGGCACATCAGAACAAGCCACAATAGTAGACTAGACCTACCATGAAACGCCACTCACTGTAAAAATTTCACACAACATAGACAATGCTACAAGCAATGCCTCCATATAATCCTAGTAAATATACTTACCAGGAAATGCCTTCTGGTTTCCTGATGGAGTGGATGACTTCTCTTCTGTCTCCAAGACTCCAACACAGGATCACATATGCTGATAGACAGGAGAGAATCTTGTGCCATTGTACCCACAAGATGCCAACTGTAGAGTCACTCAAAAAAACATCTCCATGGTTGGCACACTCCCAGCCAAATCAAATTAAAATGATGTACCTAAGTGAAATTTGCGGAACATGGACCAGAAATATTACTGCCCCGTCCCAGCAAGTCTCTTTGAAACATTGGTTTCTTTCTTTTCAAAGTGAGCAATTGAGTAGTCAATTTCGTTACTGAACAGAGGACTGAACTGGTTTAAGCTGAATTATACGGGTATGATCTTTTCTATGTAAACAGTGAAGGAGAATGAGACCATGTGTTAGTCTGTTTATGAAGTATTTCTAGCAGGCAGTATTAATCCACAACATTAATCGATACGAGCAAGGCCAGTTAAGTGAGTAATCACATCCCCGAGGCAAGAAAAATTAACCAAAAACTTATCATGAAGTTCTGAGGGGCAAGCCTCAGTCTTCTCCCACAAGGAAAGACCATCAGAAATGGCCTTCAAACCAGTCTGCAGCAATTCAACACCCTTGCTGATCTCGTCAGGAACCTTCCTCTTCTTGTTGGATCTATTTTCACAAATCCATTCTGCTCTTTCATGCCTAACAGCTTCCACGTCAATATTTTGACTCTTTTGAGTTGTGACCTTAAGGATCAAAGCCTCTTTTCTCAGCATCTGAAGCTGCTCAGTGCAGGGAAAAGTTTTAAGAAGGGCAACTTCTTTCTCAAGAAATTTCTTGAATTCAGACATAAATCTTTCCTCATTTGCCTCATTTCCTTGCAATAAATCGTATGATAGAGCAGCATTTTGTGGCACGAATCTCCAAAGCTGATTGCAGGAGGTTCTTGCAGCAAAATGTCCAAATGCTTTAATTGCCAAATGTGTGAGAGCCCAGTGCTGTTCTCTTAGTAACATATGATACAGATCCCAAATAGCAGAGCTCTTTGGACATTCATCTCTTTCTTCTATTTCTATATGACCAAGTCCTGCCATGAAAAGAGCCAAATCAACTTTGCACTGGTACAGCTTGGCATCAGCTGCCAATGGCCTTATAGTAAACAGGTTTTGCAGCTTCATGATGACTTCGTCCATGCCATTACATGCATATAGATGTGTCATGTTAGAAACTATTGCCAGTGTTTGACCCAAAAGCTTAAGGCAAATGTCACTTGCCACATTCTCTGGAGAACGGGTGCAGCTCTGCAGAATATCAGCTAGGAACTTTACTGTCTTCTCGTCAACGTCAGATTCGGCAACCTGGCTAGAGAATGTAAAAAGTTGATTCAGATTTCAATGACAATAACAATTGCTACTTAACCTGAATTCACTAGGTCAAAAGGTGTTGTTAGAGTTCAGCAATCATGCAGTGCTGGAAACAAATTGACAATATTTGTGTTTCACTGTAAAAGGGAAAAACCTCATGAAATGAACTGAAAAGAATCTTCTATTGAACAAAAAAGTAAATAAAGTAATACTAAGCAAACATTTATCGTTGAGCCCAGCAGAGGAAAATAGACAAATAGATTTGTCAGGAATTGAAGAATGATTTTGTGAAACAGCCCTTCCTATCTGATAGAAAAGGATCAACCCCCATTGCATATTGGTACTTAATGGATACAGAACAGATCTGCTTCTTTTTGTTCCTACGAATGAGTCTCATTCATTTCATTATCCATTCCTTGCCCTTGGATGATCCACATCTCAGGGTCAGGCAAGGAAGGGCGTGAAATTTTTTTTCCTGTCTGCTGGAACCAGGGGATTAGATCTAGCCATAAGAAGAAGTCCTGGCTAACAAATAACTCCCGATGCCGCATTGGGTTTAGATAGCTCGGAGATAATAGCTCCTCTGCGAAACCTTGTGATTGAAGGAGTTAAATGGGCCGAGTAATAATGGCATATGGGCCTTTATGGGAAGAGACCCGTGAATAGTCGTGGGACCAAAAAAAATTGCAAATGCATGTAATGGATGCTGCGGTTTTGTGCTACAATTATTTATTGCAAACTGCCTCGAACAACAAGAAAGTTTCCTATTATGATAGTTATTATTCAGTAAACATTGGCAATATAATTAATGCCTATTTTTCTTCTGATCGGAACTTCTCTTCCAAAATGCAAAGGGACTTACAGAGATGGCAAAGAAGCACACAACACAAAGAGTGGAGCCCCCAGCAGCCTAGAAGGGCAAGCGCTGATGAGCATGCCGCTAAAACCTCCAATGAATTCATCATAATCACTGATTATCCTTTGTTTAGCGATGCCTCTCAAGTTGTCTGAAAGCAAATTTAGAGAAAAACCTTCTGCAAGCAAGGCTACATTCATGACTGATGATAACAGAGATACACCACCACTAGTAACAAAGTTATAAACCGTCTGCCACAGATGTACCACAAGAAACCAGCATATTTATTGATCTGGCCACTTTTCTCAGGGAAGAATTGTCAACAAAAACAGCTTCGACAGAAGCCACAGATTTGAGACATGAGCAGAGTTTATCAATAACATCATTTACCACATCGGTTTCAGCATAGCGCATCATAAAGCACCACAGCTCCATTATAATCACCCAACAAAGAAAGTGAGGATGGAAGAAGTTGTCAAGCAAGAAAGCCTCCACTTCTCCCCATGCCGTACTAGAGTAGGCCACAATCATGAAAGATTTGAGGGAATGTATAAGCGAAGCAAACACAGTCTCCCATACCAACTCCGGGGTCTTCTTAGTACCATATAGTTGGGGTATCGACATTGAGAGGATGGAAGGATATACTTCTTCATGGACAAGTATGTCGAAAAGCCATCCGAGCTTTCTGGTTATCCCAAGTCGTACATCTCCTTCAATATCGTGAGAAGATCTCAAGAGACAAGCAAGTAACAGAATCCGGCCAAGCGAAGGTAGTCTTGTCCCAAACATAACCTTGGAGTTCGCTGAGAAGATTTTATCCACTGCCTTAGTGCAATTAACAGCATTTGAGTTCTCATCGATATAGGTCTCGTCACTGAACAAACAATCCAGAATTTCAAACTTCATCTCCTGGTTCACTTCATCAGAATTCAGCAAGGAGTTGTATAAATTCATGGATGTTTGATCCAAAAGTTCGGACAATACCTCACTAGCAATTTTTAGGTGCTCCTCATGGCACATTTGAATTTTCATATTTGCAATCATCAGGGCACAGTGTGTTAACTGCCTGTGAACACCATATGATTGACATGGATACAGGGAGGCTATTTTCACAGCATTAACAAGGTAAAACTTTACAGGAACAAATGACCGTCTAGCTTCTGCTTGAGAAATAGATTCCTTCAGCAAAGACCAATTCTCAGCTGCACATCTCAGAGATTCATTGGCTAGTGAAATAAGAGTCAAAATAATATCTGCTACATTAAAATTGACTTCTACTGCTGCTTTTCCTATCTGAAGAAGTGTGACAACACCTTTCCAAGTGACATTCAGAATGCTGACCAGAGTTCCACCACCACTAGCTGCAATAGTTCCCAATTCACACAGTTTTTCTACTGTATGTTTTGCCATGTTAGCAACATAATTTATGTCACCAGCCCCTTCTGTATCCATGGTACTCGGGTCTTTCTCAGATCTTTCTTGCAAATGGTTCCCAGATTGGCAATAATCTTCGCATAATTTTACAACCGAATTGATGACTGTATGTGCAACCTTCACTATTTCTGAGCTAACGGATTGGATTCTCTGCATCAAACATGAACTTAATTATTTTATCAAAAATGGCAAAATAAAGGCATATGCTTCCCCTGTTAGATAGGAAAAGAATAAAGAGAAGAATTCCATGTTTTCAAAGTTTAACCTATCCGAGATTCTGGAAATGAGCCCCGGAAGTA